GCTTGCTGCTGGCCAGAGTGGCTGGCTTGTCAGAGGAGCTGATAGCGTCACGGCTGGTGCCTCTTCTACTCAATCAGCTCGTGTTTGCAGAACCTGTAGCTGTCAAGAGTTTTCTTCCTCATCTGCTGGGTCCAAAGAAAGGTGACCTTTAAGTACTTTCTCTCTTCAGAATTATTACTGACAAGTTTAGAATTAATTCAGAGTTGTCGTTCCATTGAATCAAGGGAATAGTGGTGTTTATTTAACCAGAACAAATACTGTAACATGCAGAACTGGAAAGGACAGTTGTGTGTGCTTCCCCATTTGCAGTACCTCCCACTGCTCTGCTGATGCTGGGAAGAGAATCAGGAATTGCGTGGGCTCTTTCCCAGGTTTACGTGTCATCCCCCCAGCCACCCCAGGCTTTCTCAGTGGCTCACTGCATATCCCTCTTCCCTTTCCCCTGTCCTCCCTGCCCTTTTTTCTTCTGCCACTGCACTCACTCTCCTGTAAGGGTGCTCAGCCTCTTCTCCTTTCCTCTGTAAGGGGTGTTCAGCGTGTCTGACTGGATCCCCAGCTGTCTTTGTCCGCGCTGTTTGCCTCCCGTCTCTCAAAGTTTTTCCTAAATAGCTACGGCTGTTTCGGCCAAGCAATACCGGTCTTGTGACTGTTTGACCTTCAGTGTCCAGCGCCATTGCCATCGAGCAAGGGGCACTGACTGGCACTGCTGCCTCTCCTCCCTCCCACCTCTGACATCCCAAGCAAGCCGTGTTGGCAGCTGACAAAGAATCAGACCTGGCAGTGGGGTGACACTGTAGATGTCAGCTGCGATGGTTTCTCAGTGAGTAGCTTTTGGGTGAGCTGTCTCTTGTTGTTGAAGCAGCCTTTTCCCATCTTCACCTCTCGTCCCTAGAGCAAACTGGAGAAAGCCAGACCAGCTGCCTCCTGTCGCCAGCCTTGTTCCAGACACACGTCATTCCTGTGCTGCTGAAGCTATTTGAGGTTCACGAGGAGCATGTCCGAATGGTGTTGCTGTCTCACATTCACGCCTACGCAGAACTGTTCTCTCGGGAGGAGTTGAAAAACATCATATTGCCACAGGTTAAGGACGGCAAAACAATACGCGGTATATCCTAGAATATGGGATTTCTACTGCTCGGGTTGGTTCTTAGCTTAAAGTTCGGGTCTCATAGCGCTCAGACGGTTTGCAACCTCCTCTCTACGCAAGCCCTAACCCTTACACCCCATCCTGATCTGGAGTGCTGTTTTTGTTAAACCCGATGCCCTATGTCATGCACCTGACTTGTGCCGATACCTGTCGGCCTCGACTGGCAGCCTCACAATAAGAGACTCTGTTTCTGTTTCACACCACAGCAGTCAAGAGTGGAGGAGTGATCGGTCTGAGCTCAGGGTGCCTTGACGTTGCGGTCCAGCACTCAGCTGGCACTAGGATCAGCCACCCTCTTTAGCTTGTAACACAAAGTGGAAGGCTGATTTTATGCTACGGAATAATGTCCAGGATCTACCGAGAGCTGTGAGAGATCATAGAAATGAAGTGTGCTGTAAATGTAACATTTAAAGGGGAAAGAAGTGAAAAAGCAGAATTTTCCGTTCTTAGTAATGTCATCATGTTCTTGGTGTAGGTATTGCTGGGCCTTCGAGATACCAGCGACTCTATCGTTGCGATAACGCTGCACAGCTTAGCAGTTCTCGTCTCCCTGCTTGGACCTGAAGTAGTTGTAGGCGGAGAAAGAACGAAGATTTTCAAAAGCTCTGCGCCAAGTTTCATGAAAACTGCTGATCTCTCCCCAGAAGGTAAACGATACGGTCAGAGCGCTTGCCCACTCTGTCCAAGCAACATAGGCAAAACTTCTTGGATGATTACTCTTTTGCTGTTGACAGGTTAATTGGAAGAAAGCTAATTTGCAGTTAAACTTTAATTCTAAATTAGGTGCTGACTGTTTGCAGATACAGAATTGATATCATAAGAGGAGTTATTTAAATTTTTTTCCCCCCTGTATTTCCTACATTTAAAATACTTTTTTTTATATATCTTCTTCATTTTAAGAATCTCTGTAAGCACAGGAGATTAAGTGTGTGTGTTTGGAGGAAAAACTATGCTGCCCTTCTAAAGGACTTGCATACTTATCTAGATAGTCGCTTAATATTCCCTCTGTCCTTCCCGTTTTTAAAAATAGTAAATGTCATCCTCTTCCCCCAATTTCTATTCATAGATTGGAAAAGGAATACGAACTTCCCTATTTTCTCAGCTCTCAGGAGGCTTTTCAGCTAATCCAAATGAAGACAGTAGTCCCTGCACCTGCTAGATAACCTGGAACCAAGTGCACTAAGGGAAAGCTTTTCTGGGTATTCGAACTAAGAATGCTTATAACTGGCGGGAAGAATCGGCATTTGGTCTACTTCAGACATGTAGATAGTAAATGAAATGCATGACAGAGATCAATTTGAGTATAAATGCGTGCTTCCTGATTATGTGTGTACTGACAGTTACCACCCTTTATTAAAATCTGTGGATGGCTCATTGCATTATTTTGCTTTACATTATTTTAGTAGACTATAGTAGATAAACCCCTTTGGATCGCATGCTAAAACCAGGTTTATTTTTAGAATATATTTAAAATTAGACCTGATTTAACTATTGACAAACAACAAAAAGAACACCTTTGTCCTCAACAGTGAGTGACGACCTGCGAAAAACAGTACTAGAGGCTGAACAGGCGAGGCTTAATAAGCTGTTTGCTTAAGCCCCTGAAAGGACATACCTTTTATCAAGGACACTTTGGGGAGGGGGTGGGTTCTGTGTATTAACTGCAGTCCTTTCCAGTGCCGCAGGTCATGCCTCCCTGGCTGTGCTGGTAAGCCCTAGCCTGGGCAGGTGCAGCTGGCTGGGAACACAGGCGAGCCACCTGGAAGCCATGCTGTTCTGGGACGGTGGCAACGGCCTCGCGCAGCCGAGGCCAGTGCTGGTGAATCACCGCTGCCACTGATGATACGCTGCAACTCCCGAAAACGAACTGGAACTAGGTGCTTGCCAAGCTCTCATCACGGGCCCAGGGAAACAAACCCGCCTTGGGCAGCTTCGAAGTGTGGCCTAATTTACCGTCTGCCACCCCACCTCACCTTGGGCGTGGTATGAGGGAGGCTGTCGCACAGCCTTCAGGGTAGAGCCTCTTGTTTCTCTAAGCTGCTCTCCTCATGCCCAGGCATAAAAGAGGGTTTGTATAGTCGCATGAGCTTGCTTATGCTTTGAGTTGTTGTGACGATCAGTGCTGTGCTTTTGTATGAGAGGCAGATAACAGGGGATTTGTGATGCCATGCAGTACAGAAGCTGGAATTTTGGATCCAGCCAGGTGGCAGACAGCATTTTTTTTTTTTTTTTAAGCATCTGTTCTGATCATAATCAGTTTGTTCATTGTGGATTTCTTGAAAGAACATAGCAAAAACTGACCAAACTTTGAATTGGCAAGAGCTGCAGATGGCAGGAACAGAGGAGTATTGTGTTATATACAGCTCAAGAGGTGCAGCTGTTGCATTGCTGCGCCAGCCTTTGTTGAGCGTTGCTTGTCAGTGTGGTAAATAAGAACGTCCCGATGCTGCAGGCAGTTTCAACTAAGACTGACAACACACCTTGTGGACCTGGCGTCCTTTCTTTTCTTCTATCCCTGCAGACTCCCCCAGTCATGTTGTAAGCAATCAGAGAAATCAAAGCTCTCGGCCTTTGAGGAACAGTTCTAGCATGTTCCCCGTCGCTGGAAATGTACCTGTCAAGAAGCTTTCTGTGCGACAAGACAATCCACTGGCTTTAAAGACAGGTAAAACTTTGCCCTAGCTCTTCCTTTTTAGAAATCAAGTGTCCCACAAATGAAATGTGGCTGGAAAAGATGTTCATTTTCCCCATGTGCTGATCTGAAAGAGATACAGTGAAGGAAGGAGAGCGTGACCCTTGACTTCCTAGGGAATAGTTATTTGGGAATCTGATACAGACACACTGCTGCCTGGCCGGTTGGCCTTGAATTTTTGTTTCCTTACGGCAGGTTCTCTGCTGTGCTTTTTCACCCCTCCCACAGCTTGGCAGATATACACTGGACTTACAGGTCAGCTCGTTCTCTGACCTCAGAAGCTTACTCAGTTTACTTTCATGGCCTTTTTTCAGTCACCTGTTGCTTATCAGCAGCAGGTTTTATTGCACCAGGGCTCTGAGATTAATACCCCTCCTTTGCAAGCAGGAAGGTGGCTGTGCTTTCTCATACGAGAGGAGCTTAGCACTGAAGCATCTTTCCAGTCAGCACTACTGACTTATTTCCGTGCCAGGTGGTACCTGCGATGCCAAGGTGTTTTAGGCACAACTCTTCTCTACGCTTCCTCTCTTGAAATGAGTATGTAACACCTTTGTCTTCCACAGGTAAGCAAGACACTCAGTCACCCCTGAATGGAATTCCTGGAAGCATTAATACGCTAGGGAGCAGCAGGAGCTCTTTGACTACCTCCGAAAAGCCAGCAGAGGAGTGGCCAGACTGGAGTGAGCCAGAGGAGACAGACACTGAGAAAACTGTGAACATTCAAATTCAGCCCCGAGAGCCGCGGGGCAGCGTGGGACCTTATTTTGCTGAAAATGATGTAGATGAGAAGCCTTGGGATGACTTTGAGCCCAGCAGCCCTAGTCCTGAACTGTCCTCAGGAAACTGCCTCACTGTGACACAAGCTGATGCAGTTGAAACGCCGAGGCCGCTGCCAGGTACCCATCAACTAAGCAAAGAATTCAAAAGCCTCAGACTGAGTCCCCCCCCAGAGTCCTGCCCCGGGAACAGCTGGAGCAATGACAAGTGGGGCCACCAGGAACAACTGGGAGAAACTGTGCTGCCAAAAACAACCTTTCAGGAACGGTTAAAGTCTTCATTGGAGACCGGCCTAGGAGAAGAATTCATGATCAAAGTGAAGAGGAAACCTGTGCAAGACCCTGAGCTGGACTGGTTTGCTGACATGATCCCAGACATTAAACCCTCTTCGGCTATCTTGATTTTACCTGAAGCGAGGACAGAAGCGGTTGTTCCCAGTCACTCTGGTGTAGTATCCAGCAGAGACGGTGCCTCCCAGAATGTGCTGTTTTCATCCAAATTTGCAGCAGCTGATGTTATTGAGGTAAGAGGCTATAGGCAGTGGGGTTTCAATGACTGCACACTTGAGAGGACCCTAAAGCATGCATGCAGCATAACACACTCTTGTAGCAGCAGCTGGCTCCTTAATCAGATGGTGGATAACCTGAGGAAGTATCAGCAGCGTACGACTGTACAGTTGAGTCTTTACCTGTGAATGCGAGATGCTGAGCTCTGAATGATGCATCTTACCAGGCGCCAGGTACCTCAGCGGGCTGTTACTGCAGCAGCAAGACAGCTGTGTTAAGAAACAGTGAGGGAATGGACTTAACTTGTGCGCTACTAAAGGCGCTCACTAAGGAGTTTTTAACTCCTGCTTTTAATTTGTGCTGCTGTATCCTGGATGCAACGACCCTACACTATGTTAGGGAAGGTCTTGGTTTGTCGGACAGGTAAAACAAGGCTGGATCCTGTCTGCTGAACAGGTGTGGCCGCAAGCACAAACAGAAGGGGGCTTTCAAGCACAGAGGGTGCTCGGGGCTCAGCGTTGCTCCTGGCTCTTCTAGGAAAACCAAATAGCGTTGTAAATAAAGGACCAGGAAACCAGAACCTCTGGATTACAGAGTAAAGCTTTTTGGGTGCTCTGTTTTCATGAAAGAATGGCTGAGACGTTTCTCCATTTCAGAGAACCAGGGGGGTTATAAAACTGGCTTTTTAAGTAAGCGGGTAAATCCCTCTAGCCCCACCACAAAGACTGCTTCCGTTTCCTAGGAGGGGAGGCAGCACTCCCAACACTGCCACCTGAACACAGAACTCCGCTAGGGAATAGGTGTTGATTTCAAGTTGTTTTGCTAATTCAGCCTCAAGAGAGCTACCAGAGGGGTAGCAGGTAGCATGGGGAGAGGAGCCTTGGATGTAAACTGAAGCTGTTTACAACATTTGAAAAGGGCACACTGGATTTTTAAGAGGCGCTGTTGTGGCATCAACCCCATTTTGGGGGGGAGTCACTCACTGTAGTGCAGTCAGTGCTGTGGAGTAGTAGAGGAGCTGTGTCAGTGGATGGGTGAGATCAAACTCATAGTGTTAGAGTACAGCAGGACAACAGCTGTTTCCTGGGGGGGAAGAAATCCTCTAGTTTACAGCATCCTGTTCTTAATGGGAAGTGGTTTTGGTAGAAACAGTTCTTGCTTTAATTTTAGGTAAAAAATATAAGACTCTCCCTATTACATTGCTCTTTGTCTTTAAGGTGTTTCCTTTTGTGGTTAAAAGTTCTTTAAGACAGAAAGCTGCAAATAAATACTGGCACTCCATTTTTGGTCTTATAAGGGGCTTTTGGCATTCTGGATGAATGTCTGGCTCTGCCATGGCAAGCCACACAAGCTCCTGTGGCTGCGCCATGTACGGGAGTACAGTACACGTGCCTTAATGTTGATAATTTTACATGATTCTAGGCTGAAGCTGCAGGCTGGGGTGAAGAAGAGTTGAACTGGGAAGATGATACTAACTGGTAATGGGACTGAAAGAGACAAAGGCAATTTATGGTGTGTTGGATTCTGTAAGAGAAGTTGCTGCTTCCCCAATACAACGGATAAGTACCTCAGCACTGCTTTTGCCCCAAGGCAGGCACTTGCTGCAGCAGCCAGCAAGATCCTGTGGGGCCCGATCTCTTGCAATGGATGCTCCTTTCCAGTCTGTGCCAAAACCTGCAGGGGTGAGGCCTGCACTCAAGCAATATGCCCAGCTGCGGTGCGTGCCACTGCTACCGAAAGGAGGAACAGCATGGTGGGTGTGTTGGTGCTGACGTGCTACTGGAGGCCAAGACTGGTCTAAGCAATCGTTCCAGAACTCATCCCTGCTCTGAAAAACTGATGACAATAAATGAAACTCACACTGAGTTCCTTGGTTAATGTGCCTTTTTCTTTCTTTCGTTCTTTTTTTCAGAAGAGTAAAGCCCTTAGAAAGGGCTCCTTTTAACTTTTTAGCTAAGAGCTGATTTTAAGATGAATGTATGGTTTACTCTCAACTTATTTATTTCTGTTTATATAGTTCTGTCAGTGGATGGCACAAGAGGTGCTAGGAACCGTGCAGTGAAGGACCACTGAACACAAACTGCTTAATCACCGCATTCTTTCTGCTCTTATCTGTGACCAATAAAGATTATTTTTAAAAGATGACCCTGGTGTGGAGTGGAACCAGCAGCAGAGGTATGTTCAGAGAACATAACCTTAAATTGTTATTCTTGAGTGTATTTTAAAATTAAGATAAAAACACCTACTCCCTGGTCACCTGTATGTGACAGGAACAAAGGTAACTGTTACTTTTACAACAGATTCAAACATCTTAGTATTCAAACTACAATCTCATGGAATGTTTATCATCATACAGTAGCTTAGAAGAGCAAGCTATACATTGGCAATATACAAAATGACAGCTCAGATGCACAAGAATGTCCATTAAAATAGATCAGTCCTTCCAGCCAGTTATTATGAAAGATGGGCCAACATCTCACACCTCAGTTCATTTTGGCACATTAACCGAGACCCAGCAGTACAGTAGAGCATCGCCCTGTGTCACAGTTTTTTCTTCTCCAGCAATCCCGGTACAAAGGCATCTCTTCCCTCAGCACAGGGAGCTGAGCTGTTTTATTGTCTCTAAAACCTGCTGAGCACCTTACCGTACACTGTCTCTGAGGATGGCTATAGCTGTATGTAGAGCCTCCAGTTTCACTGCAAGCCAAGCAGGGGGTGACCCTTTCCCGAGCAGCAGCTTCACAGCCTCCACTGCCCCCTCCATCGTGCCTACTGCTGCCTTATACTGCTCCTCCGAGGGTGGGTGACATGCTTTTTTTGCCAGAGGCTGCAGATTTAAGTAAACATGAGACATCATTTATAATGCTCTACATAACCAGTCAGTCTTCATCCAAATGCAAGAAAACCCTTCAATGGAAAAGAGCTGCAGGAAATTCCCTTGCCATGTAAGAGTTCTTGCCGGCTGGCAGGCAGTACGGAGCGTTCGGCATAATATTAAGGGCCAGGAGTGCATGCGACCTTTTTTCTTAGAAATCAGAGGGCAGCAAGACCATCTTGAACCTCTTTAGATACTTCCCAGACTGACAGGAATTGACAGCAGAGCCCAGATAGTTTAAAACAGTGCACATACCTCTCCTGTTGACTCCAGTTCTCCTGCCATTTTCATAAACTGTGCACTGCAGATAATCCTTTCTTGTTTCATTCGTTCTGTTCGTGCTGCTGTCGTCTCTTCTACTTGCCTCGTCTAGGGAGAAAGCCACAGGAGAGGTAACTAAACCAAGGCGGCATTACAAACCTTCATAGGCTCAATTTGTATGCCAGAACAAGGGGGAAGGAGGGAGAGATCTTAACGTGCAGTTCACATTGAGTCTAATTTCTCATACACTCTTCTGAGCAGGAGATTGAAGTTATCTACAACAACTTTGGTGTAGCATCACTGGCAGCTGTCAGTTCTGTTGCTAATTATCTGCTTGTCAAAAACTGCTCATCCAGATAGCCCTGCCTTCCGTTACAGCATGATAACCACCCCCTCTTTCCCGCTGTCTGTGTTCTAAATGAACAGCCATCTGCTCTTAGGAGAATTTTTTCTAACATGAAAAAAGGACTAAGATGTTTCATACATGTTCATTTAACTTTCAGAAACTGCTCCAAGAGAAACAGGGAAGGAAATCACACAAATGGAATGATGAAATCCCTGTCGTCTTAATAGATAACTTCTCTGCTTACAACAATAACTGTGCAATTTAATCTTTTGTTTGTTTCTTTGTTTGTTCAAGGAGGGAAAAGCAAAGCATTTAAATCAAAGTTGAGAAGTACTGGAAGAGCAGCATGCATAGGAATGGCAGTTTTTAATTCTGCTGGTTAGAGCGAGTAGAAAAGTTCAACCAGATCCCAGTTAACAGAGCAATCTATTTTAAACTTACTTATTTAATTACCATGCAGATGATGCAGGTGTAGACATAGACATAGGCGATGTACAGCTTATTATGGGTGTGTACAACATCAACTAAGAAAGGAATAAAATGGTTCAACAACATACCTTAGCCAGAAAGCTAACAACTTTGTTCTTAGTTTCTTCAGAATTAAGGCACTGAGGAACAACATCTTCATGGCTTGTTTCCTGTCAAAAATGTTGAGTAATAGTTGCTTACTACATTCGTATTACACAGGAACAAAGTAAAAAATGTTTCTGTGACAATCCCTTCCTTCTTGCAACCTATGCTTAATTTTCCTTCAACTTCCAGCTTCTGAAATCACTTACAACTGCATTAGCCCTCACTACTTTTGATGTGCAATAGCATCTGTAATACTAAGAGCTAAATTGATCAGTGAAGAGCAGCAAACATTTAAGACGGAAGAATTTCTGTACAATAAAAGTTAACAGAGCCAAATACATGCATCCAGAGTTCTGCTGTGCTTACCTCTGCAAAATGTGTGAATGCCTCCAACGCGTGCTGATGAATCAGCCAGGTCTGGTCAGCTAGCAGAGAAGCAAACAAACACGACAGCTGGGGTACAACTTGCCTCTGAAAGAGGAACAAATAACTCAGTTCCAAAGAGTTAGTTGTGCATACCTTACCATCATGATTTATTATTAAAAAATCGCTGCTCTAAGTTCAAGGGACAGGTTTGTGAAATGCGAGAGCGCTACTGCCCTGTCTGGCAAAAAAAAAAACCACTGTAAGGGAGGTGACATGTTCTAGTCTTCCTTCTTGGAGGTTCAAATGTCAGTCCTTTGTAACGGGTGAGAAGCAACAAGCAAATGAATGAACGAAGCATCTTACACGCACTCAGCATGTCTCAGTGAAAAATAAAACTGCCATAGACCATTAGTAAGTCTCCAAGATGACTATGTCACGACACTCCTGTATACATTTGATGAACTCGATCCTTTATATTTAAATAAGTAGCATATATTTTCATCAAAAGACTGACGATTATCTAAATAAGGCCACAGTTATATTCACCTGTGCTTCTTGTGGTATAAACACCTTTCCCATGGAAGAGAGAAAATCCACCATCGCTAGACGAACATGATCTGGGGGATCCAACTGGAAAAGGGAAGACTGCAGTGCAAATACCTGCAGAAAGCAAACCCCAGCGAAGCTCCATCAAACAGATTGCAGGTGAAAACAGTTCTGTCTCATCTTTAAATCTGAGGACATTGATTTTAGAAAACCAGACTGAAAACAAAAGGAGGTGTGCTACACCTTGAATAAAACTGGCTAGGATAAAGCTGCAGTGTGCATTTTAGAAAGAAATAAGCATGGTCTATAGCATATCCATATATCTCAATTATCTTGCAGAGTAATGGAGTTTGCAAAAGCAATGTTAACCAAAGTGTGATATACTTGGTTTAGAGACCAGGAAAGTAATCAAGGAAGAAATAAGATTAGGAACCTCCATGTGTTAAGAGAAGGCCAAACCATGAAATAACTCATTTGAGATTTCAGTATATCACAGAGAACTTGGTTTTCATGAAGTAAATTATTCATAAGAAGGTATTGTTTTGGATTTTTTCTTACCCGAGTAATCAGTTGAGCATCTAATGCTTGGATGAAAAATTCCAAAAGGTGAAGTAATAAACACAGTGTCTGCTGGAGACATGGCTCATCCGAGACCTTCAACAGATCACAAGAGATTAGTAACACTGCATTTTAGCTTATGGAATAACTACTTGAGAAAGGATTTGAAGTTACAGTAGAGTTCCGAAATTCTTCGCCTCATTTCACAGACATAAAACAACACATCGCAAGCAGCAGAAAAAAATATTAAAATAGTTATACCAGTATTTCTAGGTAGTCATATTTTACAAGACCCTTTTCTTTGATTTTTATTAAGAATATTTCTTATCCCCCCATCTCCTTCCTCCACTCACTAATGTAAGCAGCTAAAGGTTATCTGAACTATTTCTTTTCACTTATCAGTTGCCAAATGTCTTCACAGAACGGCTGAGGTTGGAAGAGCCCTCTGAAGGAACACATTGTTGGCTCTTCTTCACCCTCATCTCAAACTTTTCTGTTTTTTTCTGGAGTAGGAACCATGACAATCCTGTTTTCTTTACTGCAATTGCAGACATGAGCAGGTATACAGTTGCAAGGGAATCGCCTTACCCCCTCGTTCTCAAATATGGGAGGAAAGTTACTAGCTCTGCGGGTTTTCATGTGCTAAGCTATGTACTAATTAAATCACCATGAATTTTGTTCGCATTCTAATGAACATTTAAAACAGGCCAAATTTGTAACTGGTATGAATCAGGTGTTTCAGACTTCTCATTAAGCAAGTCTGAGTTTGACACTGAGTAACAGATGGAGCCATAGCAAGGAGCCGTATATGTAACATGCAGGAAAATTCAAACTCCTCCTCCCAGAGCACTCGCTGCCTAACACAGAAACCAGCCGACAGCGGACGGGCAGCACAGTTACACCATGCTTTACAGGAGTGGTCCAATCCAAGTAAAACAACTTAGTAACAAACACACAATGAAACAGCACCAGCCTCTCGGAGACATCATGCTTTCACCACTGGAGCAGCAAATTCTCTTACCTGCTTAGCCTGGAGAAAAGTCCAGAACTGACCAAGCACTCCCAGGATAGATGCCTGAAGTTCTGCCTCCAGAGTGTCACCAGCAAAATTGTAGGCAGCCAGCAGGACAGAAAGGGCAGTATTCTAGTAGGAAAAAAATGTATAAGACCAAAAAACCCTACATGTAAAACGAACCAAAACCCCAGGCTCACATTAAACATCTAAAATGATACAAGATGGCAGGAAGCCCAGTGTGCTGTGTCAGCGGTACAGTACAGCTAATCCACCAGGCCACTGGCCAATAAAGCTTCCAAAGCGAGGAAACCATCCGTTACTTCTGTGAGTTTCACACGGCGCTGTACTCATTAGCTGCGCTGGCAGGCGAAAGCTGGCAGCAGATACTTCACGTGGAAGTGTCTGGTTTCTCACACTCCTCTCCTTTGCCAAGGAGACCAGTGAGCATCTTTCAGATTTGATGCCGCATAAAAACAGCCAGGACTTTAAAACTTAAAAGTAACTGTATGACATAGTATAAATCGGATCTTCTAAAGAAAAATACATCTGCTCACCCAGAGAGCAAACAACAACTAGAATAACTAATAAACCACACGTCC